CTTCAGACTTGATTTAATTTTTGCTCTTGGCTTCCATGAAATAGCCCTGTAAAACTATAATGGACTCCCTTTCTGCTCATACCACCTCAGGTTGGTTTTTTGTTATTTAACAAAGAGGGATGTAGTTAATAAACCTTATTGCTCAACATTTTATGGAAGCGCCTGAACAATTGAGATTGCCTTACTGCATCAGACCTGGCTTCAACTACACAAAGATGACCAAATAATTTGTTCCTCTGAAATGAAGGAATTAAAAAACTTATCTTAGGATAATTCAAGGGTGTGTGTGTGTGTGTGTGTGTGTGTGTGTGTGTGTGTGTGTGTGTGAGGTTGTCTGTATAAACATGTATATATCTCATAGTATATATGTCTTTAAGAAAAAATCTATTTCAAATAGAAATATTCTTACTATGTGATGGTAGCACAGCTTTAGAATTTGTTACACAATTAATTTTGTTATCTTGGAAAGGGTTTTCCAGAGAGATCCTCTGTTTTGTAGTTATGGCAAGTAGGCCATAGTACCTTACCCCCTTTTATTACCTCTTCATACCTTTCAGTTCAGTTCAATATATACTCTACCTACTAGAGGGATGGTTACAAATTTTTCTTTCTTTTTTTTTTTTGACTTGCTCTTTAAGATGGTAGGAATGAAAGCTAATTTTCTGAATGAATTTTAGTCCAGAGTTGACAGCAGTTGCCAGGTATTCTATTTCCTGTCTTCAGATTTTGTGGTCTTCTACATGAAGAAATCTTTCTGAAGCAAGAGTAACTCATCAGTTTATCTTCATGTAGCAGATAAGGTGAAGTTTCAGTTAGTCTAAGACATTCAGGAATTTATTTACTTAGAGGATTTAACTTGATCTTTACACCAGAAATCAGTGTGACAGTTTACACCTCGTTTCCTAGTGCCTCCAACACCTCCTCCCCCTCTTCTGCTTCCACCTTGTTCCCCTTCTGTCTCTTTCTCTAAAGCCATCAGAATGAGCATTTGAAAACCTAAATTAGAGCATGTCATTCCTTTCCTGTAAAGCTCGCTGGGCTCTGCGCTTTGCTAAGAGTAGAAACTGAAGTGCGGGCAATGGCTTGCAAGACCCTACATGGTCTACCCCTATTTTTATCACTTCTTTGTCCTCACCTCCTACTACTCTCCCCATCCCCCTCCCTGTTTGGGCCACTCTGTCCTCTGGCTGTTTCTTGACCATACCAAGCAAGCTCCTTCCTTGGGGGCCTTTGTGTTGGCCATTGCTTTTACCTGAAAAGTTCCTCACCTAGATACATCAGCATAGCTCTCTTTCTTATCTTCCTTGAATCTATGCTCAAATCTCACCTTCTCCGTGAAGCTTACCCACTACCCAGTCCCATGCTGCTTGCCTCCCTACCTCTCTCCCTTTTCTACTCTACGTTTTATCCCATGGCACTTATTGGTGTCCAACATTTCTAACAGACTAACAGACTATTATGATATCTGCTTTGTCAGGGTTCTCCAGAGAAACAGAACCAATATATACATATATACACACAAGAGGAGATACATTATAGGAGTTGTTGCACATGGTTATGGAGGCTAAGAAATCTCATGATCTGTCCTCTGCAAGCTGAAGAGCCAGGAAAGCTAGTGATATAATTCAGTCTGAGTCCAAAAGCCTAAGAAACTGGGGGCCACTGGCATAAGTTCTAGAATCTAAAGGCTCAAGAACCAGGAGCAGGAGGTCTGAGGGCTGGAGAAGATGGAAATCCCAGCTTAAAAAACAAGAGTATCTTCCCTTCTGCCTTTTTGTTCTATTGGGGTGGGAAGAGGAGGGGATAGGAGTAGGGGGTGGATAAGGGAGGCCAATGGATTGGATATTGCCCTCCCACATTGGAGAGGGCAGATCTTCTTTACTTAGTCTACTGATTCAAATGCTAATCTGTTCCAGAAACGCTCTCACAGACACACCCAGAAATAATGTTTTACTAGCAATCTGGGCATATCTTTAGCCCAGTCGAGTTGGCACATAAAATCAACCATCACAATATCCAAGCTCCATGAGGGCAAGGATCTTTGTCTCTTTTATTTACTAAAGGATTTTAAGCAGGTAGAATAGTACTTGGCACAAAGGAGGCACTCGAATATTTATTGAATATGAATGAATAAAAAAGCATGAATGAATTGATAGGTTGAAGTTCTATTTTAAATTATAGTTTTTGAGGCTATAAAGGTAGTCATGGAATCTCTTTCAAAATTTTAGCAGCCCTTTGGGTAGTAATCCATAAGGAGTCACCAGGAAGATTGACTTTCCATCTTCACTGGAAAAGTTGTACAGTCTTTCATGGGTTATAGAAATGTCACCTTGATTGCCTACTATTATTAGACAAGGTAGCCTCAATTTACTCAACTAGGGACATTTATTTCCTATTTCTGCTTTCTACTTTCCACTAAAATTGACACACTACAGCTGCTCATATTTCTTTTGATAGAAGTTCTTAGAGTGTGTATGGGGAGAAATCCTTTCCCACTTTGAACCCATGTAGTCTTTCTGCCTCAAGTGTTTCTTCTACGATAGTTTTACCTCTGCCTGAGGATGTTAGCAAACATATAGAATGTGACTTTTCCTTCATTAGGTTCATGAAAGAAAGTTTTTTTTCTGACTCAATCTTGGATCCTC